AAAGTGTAGTCCAAAAGTACTTGAAACCAATATGGTTCACAATGATGATGCCTACAAGAGCTTAAGCTTGATCTCCGGAAATGATGAAATACTTTCTGATCCTTTTTACAAATGAATCAACTTCTACATAAGTAGACATTTTTCATACATGTACTTTTAGCTACATTCATGTGTAGGTAATTTTAGATGCATTTTTAGTTACATTTCCCCCCTAAATCTCTACAGGTGGAGCTGAAAAAAGATTCCTACAACAAGAGCAAAATCTCCCAAGCTTGGCCGTAAAAAGGACTCTCCTTATAGAGAAGAGATCAATGACAATGAAAATGACGACATTCGGTCTATTAGGTCCAGCTTCGATGAAAAAGTGTCCTTGGGGGATAACCACGCAAAGGAGCATTCTCTTGTTACTCCTACAAGGACTCATCGTAAGTCTTTTCTTAAGTTGCCATCTCAGAATACCAATTTATTATTTCGTCAAACGAAGAAATCTTCCCATTCTAAAAGATTGATATTTTGCAGGGAAGAAGTACCACCATCAACTGGTATGGAAAAAGACAATGATGTCTCTTTAGAGAGGCACACCAACACTGGTGTTACTACAAGCGACATACCGGAGAAGAAATGATAAAGTAAAGCGAAATAACATAATGGATAAATGTAATAATTTGAAATGATTGATTGAATTGTGTGTTCATTGTGATACTATTATATATATTTTTTGTTTCTTTTTGTTGTATTACATGTATTGCACTTTGTTGCATCGTGTTGCATTTTGTTGCATCTTGTTACTTTTTGTTGCAATATGTTTTTTATTATTGTTTATTGTTTATTCAGTTTTTTGTTATTTATTTGGATTTATATATATTTTTGTAATCCTTCAAATTGAAATATCTATGTATGTAATACGAACAAACACAAAAAATGTTAAATAATTTATTGAGATATATATTTAGAGTGATGCTTTTATATGTTATATATGTTGCTTTTTGTTTCATTATATATGTTGCATTTTGTTGCATCATGTTGTTTTTTGTTGCAACATGTTGGTTTTTGTTGCATCATATTGCTTATTGTTGTTTATAGGTGATTTAGAGTTTTTGTTGTTTATTTAAATCTATATTTATCTTTGCTACTTACTTGAAGTAAAAAGTCATATATAAATATATATTAAAGAAACAAGATTGTGAAGCATCAAAGCCAAATAATATAAGACGGAGTGATAAATTGAGCTACCAGATTGAATTTTATACTTATTATAATATTTTTATATATTATTTTTTGTTTTTTGTTGCAGTGTATGTGTTTTTTGTTGCATCATGTTACTTTTTGTTGCAATATGTTGCATATTGTTGTATCAAGTTGTTATTGTTTTTTTTGTTGTTTATTTAACATTCTATTTGTCTTTGCTATTTCTCCGAAATAAAAACCATCTATACACCCACAAAATACCTAAAATGATAAATTTGGGTTTATAAATATCAACAACAAGAGAAACAAGAAAAATTTTTACAGTTATCAACAAAAAGAAACACACTGAAACAATGTGCAACAAACAATTACAATAAGATGCTATTGGTAAATATTAATGTTTTTTATTATTGTTTAAAAATAATATTAGAAAATTAATATTTTTAATTATTTCCTATTTTAAAATTATTTACATGTTCCGGTTTTATATTTTTGACATTTTTATTTTCATGGTTTTTATATTTTACACTCTTTTAATTTACACTAATTAGTCTAATTTTATAAAACTTTGGTACTTTATATTGTGTATTTTTATTTTTTTTTATAAAACATATTTTGATTTTTTTAAATTTATCAAATTCTGTGTTTTTTATATTATACTTTTTTGCTTTGTATATCCTCTGATAAACAAATCTCTCTTCCATAAACATTGCTAGTTACTTATCATATTTTTAATAATTTCAAAATCTCTTTTTCCTGATTGTATAATTTTTTGTTATATTTTATATGTTTTAGGGTATTAAACCATATTTTAAAGCTTTTTGTTAAACTTTTGAGTTTTTCTATTTTTTGACAATTTATATTTTGATAAAAATTATGATCACTATTTCAAAAAGTTACATAATAAAAATTGTATTTTCTACAATGTTCTCATAGTTTAAACTAATTTTAAAGTTTTGATATATTCATTTATTTTAAAATTGTAGTTTCTACAATAATCTCACAATTTAAACTAATTTTGAATTTCTTTTCATTTGTTAATTTTCTATATGTTTTTTTTGCATTCTGTTTTATTTTTTAAATTGAAATTCCTCCGTCAAATTTGATTTACAATTTCCCATCTTCAATTTTTTATTTTGCATTCTTTAATATTTTCATACTTTTATTATTACTTATTTATTTTTTTATTTTATATTTCATACTTTTTAATTTTCTGATTATCTTCATCATTTTTACATTATTTTTCTATTTTAAAACAAGAATTAGATTAATTTTTTGTGTTTGTATAAGTTTAAACAAAGGGGGAAGACATAGAGCCTACATGCACTTTGGAGGGGGAGCCGACGTTCACATCTTAGGTCCCAGTAGCTTGATTCTATGCATTAATGCATATGGTCCATTTTTGAAATGAAAAGTTTAATTAGTCTATTTTTGAAAGAAACTTATAAAGGTGAAAAAAGTGATATAACTATCATTTTTTGTCTATTCCCGAAAAAATCCCTTTAATCTTAATATGCATTGCTCACATATATTAAACTTATGCTTGTGTTGAAATATTAATTTTTTCCATCGATAATGGGAGCTAAGTTTTGAAATAGAGGTTTATTAAGAACCGATTGATTCACATAAATTATTAATCAAGCTAATAAACTTCAATCACATCATGAGGTTACCTTGTTTGCCACTTACCTTATATAATTTACATATATATATTTGGATTGTTAATTGTTTAGTGGAAAGTATTGTACCGTTCGAATCAATTAGTGGTATATCTTTGTTTTTCAAATTACCTGTATGACCTTTTAAATGCCAAAAGCTATAAAACGACGTTATCCGTTTTTATTACATGTGCCTGAGTGCACCGTTTTAAATATACTCCCCATATGTATCAACCGTCCGTATTTCTCAATGTAACGGACGTCATTAGTTTGTAGTTTGCACCGGAAGCAAGGTTTGTATGTGATCTCAACCCTATATATACACACACATATATTAAAGTATTAAATATAAGTGTACTACTCATCTTATAGTAGTATACTTATATATTATATACTATAAACAATATATTATATATTAGTTACAAGATTATGAAGAAGGGGATGACCTTAACGTTCTAAAGTGGTGGAAGGAAAAAGAAAAAACGTTACCGGTTTTATCAAAGATGGATAAGCAAGTGCTAGCAATGCCGGTATCAACAGTTGCCGTGAAACAAGAATTTAGTGCGGCCGGCAACATGCTAACGTATTATAGAACGAGATTGAGCGCAGACTCTCTTGAGACGCTTGTTTGCTTCCACGATTGGTTCAAGGCCCAACGTAGAACTCAAGAAGTGAGCATCGCCCCCACCCGCCACTTTATGGAGGAAACAACTAAAGATGGTGGAGATTCCGATTGATTATTATTTATTAGAAAATGTATTTCATGTCTCAATTGTCAATTGTACCACATATTTCAAATAAATATACTTTAACTTTTTTATATCCAACAATTCTTAAATTAATTTGTAAACAAAAAAAAAAGCCCGGCCCGGCCCGGTATCCGGCCAGGTAGCCCAACCCGGCCCGGTAGCTATCCGGGCCGGTTCCGGATCTCAAGAAACCAAAAAAAAAAACCCGGTAAGGCCCGGCCCGACTCCAACCCTAATTTTATGTCATATGTCTGCCTGCTTCGGTGAATCAGTGCCAAGGCCCACAATGGACGACACGGGTGGGTTGGGGGGCTGTAAGTATTGTTGTTGTGACTAATCTTTCGCAGAAAGCCCTTTTTGGAACTCTAATACTACATTCTCACTTCTTTCCCCCCTCGAAGAACACTTGTTGGACTTGATTACATAAAGAAGCTCGTCCCCCGGCAAATTATACCGTGCAATCGGGGCACCGTGAGGATGGGGCACCCGGTTGCAAAAGGACATATGATTGTTTGTTTCTTTTCTTTCTTTTTTTGCTTTTGTTGTTAAAAAATGATAATATCTTTTTTATTTTTGATCCGATTTTTATAAAATTTATATCAACAGTTTTTATTTTTCATGATCTTTCAAATGAGACCAATATTGCTTATGTAATTTTAAAAACTTATCGAACTATTATATTAATGGTATTGGATTATAAGGAAAATCGAACTAAATTTAATTTAGAAAAATAATTGTGTAAATCACAATTGATCTAAAATTGTGTATATAAAAAATTTATTGTATTATGTATTTATACATGTGAGTTACATATTTTTATACGTGAAGTTACATATTTTTACACGTAAAGTTACATATTTCTACACGCAAGTTACATATATATACACACGAGTTGCATATGAATTGCAGGGAGATGATAGGTTTGTGAAATAGAAGATCGAATCTGTTTGGGAGTGGATCAGTGACCTCAGTTACATTGAGTTACATCTTTTTATGAGCGAGTTACATCTTTTTATAAGCAAGTTACATATTTATACACGCGAGTTACATATTTATACACACGAGTTACATTTGACCTGTCTGAACGCGAGTTACATATTTTTACACGTAAAGTTACATATTTTTACACATAGAGTTACATATTTATACACACGAGTTGCATTTGGCCTGACTAGACGTGAGTTACATATTTTACATATGTTAATATAATAGTTCGACAATATGTTAAAATTACATAGGCAATATTGGTCTCATTTGAAAGATCATGAAAAATAAAAAATGTTGATATAAATTTTATAAAAATCGGATCAAAAATTAAAAAGTTATTACCATTTTTAAAAAAAGTATTCCAAGAATAATAAACTACTTAAATTCTCCAAGTTCTTGAAAGTGCACTCCGCTTTTCGTATTCCAAAAACAAAATACCCCTATATATTACCCATCTAAAATGCCATCTTCAACCAGATGGATATATACAAAACAAATAATGGTTATCAAATGAAGTTACAAAGGAGAGGAAGTTGCGGGTGATTTGGCCGGACGGCCCTAATTAAAGATGCATGGGTGGGAAAATTTTAAGATGTGGTGCTTTTATGTATATAGATAATACATGTATACATTAAGTTTTCCCTTTTCGCAAAAGCTTAAAAATGATTAAGCCTCTATAATGGAACAGAGTTGGTGGTTACCCACGCGGCACATACTATGGTGTTCTTCATGCAAACATTGAAGTAACATATTCCATGAAGAAGAGTTTGGAATAATACCCTTTTCCACCATTTGTAGAAAGAAGATGAACGCATTGTGGAACTCCTCTTTGCTGCAAAAGGCTTCAAGAAACAGACTATAGCTTTCTATATCAGGAAAGAAACCTCTACCCACAAGGTCCTCCAGAAATTTCAAGGCATTCCCAGTTTTACCCTTCCTGCAAAGCCCTTTGATCAGAGCGTTGAAAGTTGAAGCAATGGGCAAATACCCGTGTCTGACCATCTCATTCATTACCTCAGTCGCTTCCCTTAACCTTTCTTTCACACATAACACATGGATTAGATTGGCATAAACCAGAGCACACGGAACCCTACCTTCTTCGATCATCTGAATGTAAGTGTTTTTCGCTTCATCAACACTTCCGTCTTTGCATAACCTAAGAATTCTCAGGCTCCTATCTACTCCTCGTGGAAAAGTATTCTCCATCTTCCTCAAGAATCCTAACGCTTCATCCAAACGGTTTTCCTTATAAAGGCCATAGATGATTCCATTATAAGGCCTTATGTGACCCTCCATTTTGTTATCCTCCATTAAAGCTAAGATATTGAACCCATCTTGAATCCTCCCACCGAAGCAAAGCCCATGAATTAAAGCATCATAAGTGGCAGCATTCCACTTTAACCCAACCATTTTCATTTCATTAAAAATATCAAGAGCCATGTCATACATAGAACACTCACATAAACCAGATATCAATGCATTATATGTGTCTGCATTTGGTAGGCACCCTTTCTTCTCCATCTCATGCAAAAGGCGAAGCCCTATTTTGACCTTCCCTGACCTGCAATAGCCTTTGATCAGTGTATTATAAGCCAAAACATCAATCGCCCCTCCCCTCCCCTCTGCTCTTTCTAGGACCTCAACAGCCTCAGACAGACGCCCTTTGTTACATAGAATTTCAACTATCTTAGTCATTGTTATAACATCGGGAACAAACCCTTTGTTGAAGCTTTTCTCCAGCATCACCAGTGCGTTCACTAAATTATCGTCTTTACAGTAAGCAGAAATCAAGATATTGAAAGTAACATTATTGGGTTCAGATATTTCCCTCATCAAACTCCTTGCTCTCCCAACCTTCCCATTCTTGCAAAGGGCATGCATCAGTGTGTTGTAGATCACAATGTTCGGTTTCGTGTCCGAAGTCTTCAACACTTGCAGAAGCTTGAATCCATCTTGGATCCTGTTAGTGGCGCATAGCCCTTTCATAAGAATCGCATAGGTGTAATCATCTCCTTGAACAACACCATTGCATCCCATCATTTTCTTCCTGTAAAACTCTCTGGCAATATCAATATCTTCCTTAACTAAAACATCAAGAATAGTATTCATGAGCTTTAGACTAGGAATCAGATCAAACTTGGATGCCAATTCTGGGATTTGGATCACCTCCTTCATCATTCTAGCCCTGCCAAGACCGCGGACAAAAGTAATGAAAATGCCTTCATCCGGGGTTATACAAGCTGAGGTGCGCATTTCGTCGAGCAGTTGATGGGCAATGTCGAAACGCCGGAAAAGACATAACTTGTGAATCAAAGCTCGGAATGTGGATCGAGAGTGAGTGAAATGAGGTATATCAGATGCCCATCTGAAAGTTTGGAGAGCTTCAGAAACAGACTTTTGATCAAGTATTAGACGAGTTATGTTTTCTTGAGTAGGAGCTGGACTGGTTACAACTGGGATTGATCCTCCAATGGAAATGAATCTCCGATATGTTATCCTGCTGCATAGAACAATAAGCTTGGTAGCTTTGAGCATGAAGCTTCTATCTGATTTTACAGTGGGATTTCAGTTAGAAATCTTTTGCCTTTTCAATTAAATAAGAGACATTGCAAATAAATTCTCGAACTGATTCTGGCATTCTGCAATCACGCCCGTAATGGGAAGATTTGTAAATATATCATCAAATTAGATTCTTTTTACCTATTAGTGCGTGTAAGGATAACTTTCCAGTGAGAAATTATTGATACCAAAAAAGAATCTGATTACTTATTTTTCAGTAAGTTGAGGGTGTATTTGTAACTCTTCCGGTCCATGGCCTTATTGCATAATAGCTAATAGTTTGATAGCTTATTTCCCTCCTTTTTCTCATTGAATAAAAATGGCGGGGTGTATTCTTTAAGTCTCAAAAACTTTGTCACATTTTTTTGAATCATTTAATCGATTCATGTTATTTTTCTTTCCTCTGCACAAATCTTTACCACACAGTTTTTATCTCATTATTCCTCGTGACGATGAAACCTGACAAAGTTTTGAGGGACGGAAGGAGTACTACGTATGAAATTAGAGGAAATGTATAAGGAATTAGTAACAAATTTTTAAAAGCTCACGGATTCTAAAGGCTTAAGTGCAGTTAAGTAGATTTTTAAAAGTTAAAGACTTCGAGGTATATTCAAACTATCATTTATTCTTATAGTTTTTATTTTTTAAAAACTCAAGGATTGCCGTAGACTACTAACTCATTCCTAGATTTTCACCTGAACTCTAAGAAACACAAAAATAACATGTAGTTAAAATTCAGTTGGAGGTACAAAGATAGGTGCAGACATGTATCAATTTAAGTATTTCTTATTCATCATATTACTGATTAACGTTTATGGTGAAACTGAACCATTAAAACTATTGAACTTATTGGTCAAGTGCCGAAGTGGTTCTTACGTGTTCAATGGAGTTTTCTGAATAACCATGTAGTCATAAATGTGTAGGAATCTCACGGGTGCATAAGTGTATGCATAAGTGGAAATAGAGAAACTCACGGGTGCGTGTGCATGCTCTCAGCTTTTCTGCAATGGAAATGATGAGTAGTCTTTTATAAGTAGTATTTTCATTGTAATAGAGTTCATCACATCAGAGTTGATTGAGATGAGACCGCGCATGCACACTTGCCTACACACAACAAAGACACTGTTAGAAGAACAACTAATAGCAGAAATTTTAAACAAAAAATAACAGAGGATAAATTAAAGAAATGTCTCATGTTCAATGTTAGAGACAAACATAACATAATCAAATGATTTGCACACGAACTTAATAAATAGAGGGGCCTAAGATGATTTTAAAACTGGCGGGAAAGTAAAACCATCACAAATTAAAGTATGCTATTATTAAAAATCAATACACCACACCTTATCAATTTAGTAATAAATAAATAGAGCATCTGTCAATTAATTTAGTAAAAAGAGAGAGGATTAGTCACTAAACTTACTGAAAATTGCATTTTTGGACTCAAGAAATGAAACAAAGGAAACAAAACAAAAAAAAGTCGATATGAGTTATAGTCCAGTCTTAATTTATAACTAATTAAAACTGCATTCCAATATTTAAGTGAATGGCTTAAATAGTAGAGTGACTTGTAGGAACGATATAGCTTCATGGAAGAGATTAATTTATTACCTTAAAGACTTAGATGCCTATTAAATAAGTGTAAGCATCATTAATGCTTTGATCTAAAAGTGAACAAACTCCCCCGGCCAACTACACAACTATATAACCCAATGAGATGAGATAATTAAGCAAAATGGGAATGAAGATGAGAATATTGAAGCAAAACATATGGTAAGTTGGTAACAAATGAGATCAAATAAGTGAAATGGAGTGAAATGGGGAAGATAATCATATTTGGATTAAAATTAAAAGTTAAGCATCTTGTATAAATCAAGAGTGCCAGGAATCAAACTAAAGAATTGAAATGAATTGGATAGGAAAAACAAAGATGAATTGAAAAAGAAACTTCGTCTTTATTCATATGCTACTAATAAATCACAGAGTTCAGTAAACAACTCATTCAGATATTATTGAACCAGAAAACTTTCAGTAATTAGATCAAAACAAAACCAGTAAATTAAGTGTTCATTAGTAATCTATTTCAAATATTGCAACTGAAATATTGCTTTCCCCAGTAAACTAAAGAACCCAATGAAGATGAGAAAAATTAAAAGGAAGATTGAAGCAAAACAAATGGTAAAAAAAGAGCAGATTGAAATGGAAATAAGAAGGAATGACCGAATGAAACCCAAGAGTATCATTGTGTTTAGTAATTGTGTTCTCAAGAGAGGAATGAAACCCTTAGGAACGCAAAATAGCGGACTTTGTGTTCTCAATTGATGATGATATCCTTCGGCAGAAATCCAACAATTTTAACGAGAATCGAGCTGAAATTAGGAAATCAAGATTTAATGGAAATACCTGCTATGAAATGCTTGCGCTCAAAGGGAAAGAGTTGAAAATTTTGACTAAACTTACATGAAGTAGATCGAATTCTGAACCGAGAATTATTGAACTTATATGGATGAAGGAAATCAAACTGATCTTAAGGCAAAGGGAAATCGTACTGAAATTAGGAAATCAAGATGAAATGAAAATACCTGCTATGAAATGCTTGCGCTCATGGCTGAACTCAATGGAGAAAGTTGAGAAATTTGACTACACTTAGATGAAGTAGATCGAATCATCGAATTCTGAACTGATGAATTTCTATGGAGGAACGAAAAGGTGTGAGAGTTCCTGTGGAGAATGAGAGTTCGAAGCATGACTCTGGATGAGATCAGGAAATGGGGAAAATGCACAAATGGAACAACCGAAAGGAAAAACAAAAAATAATTATAGCAGAAAGAAATCGGTTCGACTCTTTGGGCGGGAAAATGTCAATTCTAGTACTAGTATTACAACCATCAACCGTGCGTTGCATGTGAGTGAGACGGTTTGTGGATGCATCAGATTTGGACTCATATTTAACTTAGACCTAGGTCGAGTCCACATACTACCTCATATTTTGACTCATATTTAACTTAGACCTAGGTCGAGTCCCTTAAAACTTTGACAAAGTTGACCGTCACGGAGAATAATAAAGTAAAAACTGTGTGGTTGAGATTTGTGCAGAGGAGAGAGAAATAACAGAAACCACAAAATAATTGATTAAATAGGAAAGTGGCAAAGTTTTTTGGGACGTCCAAAAAGGAAAGAGGGCAAAATTTTAAGGGACGGAGGGAGTATAATATTTGTATTTAATTTTTATATATATTTAAGGATTTTATTTAATTGAAGATTCAAAAGATATGTTTACTATCAATCAAATACGCGAAAGATATATCAACTTAGAAAGATTTAGTAAACATATCTTAAGCCTCAACAGTTTGATACGTTTCGGGATATTTAGTAAACATATGAATAAACATATTTAGTACACGAATCAATTTAGGGATATATTCAGATATATCAACATCATCCAAAGCTCCATCTCTCAATTTCTGGATCAAGTCTGTCCATACCGGCACATTTAAACTGCTGCAGTTAAGTTCATCAACATCAATTAGATGAAGCTAAACACATATTTATTTAGAATTCCCTTGTATTTTAGAAGTGATCTGATATGCCAGTTAACTAATTTTGTGCATATTAGTAGTACTGTGAGGGTGCTTTATACCTGCACAAAATATACTAATAAAAAGTCATAAGAATAACGTATACAAATAAGATTGTTTTGCACGGGTTCCCTTATTTCGTACTTGACAATAAAAATGTAGGAGTTAATTGGGGTTTTATTTCTGATGGTAGCCAAAAAAGATTATTTTAAAACGGTTAAATGCAAATGAAAGATTTTGTTGACCTGTTTATATGAACCTTCTCTTTTTATAGGCTAAGGCAGAATCACCCAATCTTCTTGGTATGGGACAATCTTAGTGGGACGGGTCGATAAGGTAAAACGGGACAATCATAGCGGAACGGAGGTAGTAATAGACATAAAAGTCAAAAGAGAATGTCACACATTCATATTTGTCTATTTAAAAAGAAAAAAGAAGTTGAAACAAACTCAATGAAGCATCAATCATTGATACTCAGATCCATCTCATTTGTATGAGGTGAACTAAACAGTAATAGATTAAAATTACAGAAAAGAACTAAACAATATTTTATGGTTTATTATGTGCCAGTGACATTAAATTTGTTTCGTTAAGAATGTAATGAAAGAGGACATAATAAGTACATTGGATTATAGTCTTCGAAAGAGTTCCCTTATATTTTTAAAACGATATGCAAGTTCCCTAATTTTGTGCATATTAGTAGTATTAGGAGATCGCTTTATACCAGCACAAAATATACTATTAAAAAGCCATAATAATTGAGTACACGGATAAGGTTGTGTCAAAAAAAATGTGTAGAATATGGCAGCTTTATAATGTAATAAAAAACTTTGGTAGTGTCATGGTAGTCACAGACATGTATAGGAATTTATACCGAACGACTTAAATTATTATAGTTGGAGCTGGAAAATACTTTTTCATTATTATATATCTATTATTCAAAATGCAGATTCAGGAAATAAGCTTATTTAAAAACTATATTTCCGATACCTCTAACTAAAACCTTGGACTGTAAAAAAAATCAAAACTTAAGCTTGAATAAAACAACAATACTGAACTGCAAATTTACATTTACAGTAAACCTAAATACATTGAAAAGTTACCCAATTCATTTGAAATGAAGAACGTTGTAAATGATATTTTCGTTGATGATTTCGCTGATGGGAATCCGCAAAATCAGAATTTATATGACACATATGTCATTGGTGAAATGGGTATGGATGAAGGCGGAAGTAATGGAGGAAGATGTGGAGATTGAAGTGTACATAGAAAGCGGAGAAGGTGGAAATGGGAGGGGGGGCGAAGACTGAAGAAATGGACGAAGATGACGGAGGAGGAGGAAAATTGGAAGGAGGGAAGTGATTTGCAAAGAGAATGGGTATAGAAGCAATGGTTAAAGCGTTAAAGTGATGGATGGTCTGGATGACAGTGCATTGGGCAGGAGAATGGGGAAGTAGTAGAAGTAAATTTTGTCACTTTATTCTTATTTACGTACTTAAAATAGAAAGTGGTAAACCATTTTGGGACAACCAAAAAAGGAAATTTTGCAAATCAAATTGGGACAGAGGGAGTATTGATTTTATGTATAAGATGTTTGGCTTGGTTAGAGTTCAAAATTGAAATATTCAGGCTCTGTGAAAATATGAAGTAAAACAAAAATGTCTTAAACATAATATGTGTATCTACATGTGGTTTATTATTGCCTACACACATTCACATTGATCATGTATCATTCAGCATTTCATCTGTAAACATAAATGCCTTAAACAAAAAACAAAAAAAAATCACTTTCAAATCAAAATAGTTAAATTCTGAATTCATAGGAGCGTTGAATTTAAGTATTTTAACACTCATTAACCACATCCAGGAACATCAAAAACCCCTTCAAGTTAATGCAAGATCTATTGGATATTGCATTCAAATCGGTCATGCATAATTCAAAATAAAATAAATACGAATAATAATGGAAGGAAGAAAAATTTGACTTTGACAAAGAGGTCGCAATTGGCTTGATTTTGGATATAGTCATATAACTTCATCAAGGATTATTTTTGCCTAATAAACTAACTTTATTATATATATTGCCTATAGTAAATATACTATCGTATATAATATCTAGGATTAAAAAGAACCATAGAAAGAGATACTTGATTGAGGAATTTTAACAAACGTCTTCCATAGATTCCACTTTTGCAGCTATTTTTCTTTGATCGGGTAAATGAAGAAACTTCAAATGATTCAGGTAGGCAGGTATATCCAAATGATCCAAGTAAACTCCAAAAAATAATAACTCTCAAAATAATCTATTAGAGGTAATTTGTATCGATATGAGTTTTGGGACAATGAAACCATGGTGATGATTAAAGAGGTAAAAAGGTTGTCGGAGGTTATAGAGGTAATTTGTTTAAAAGCCTAGTAATGCCAATATTGATGATTAATAATAACTCTAAAGAACTTGACTGAAGTTTCTCTCCCTAGTCGTCTAGGGTTCTGTGCGCCGCCACTATTGGTACGTAGTTTCTTTTCAAGTGTTGGTTGCACTCTGCTTGCATGGCTGCGGAGATGGAGGATCTCTACGCTCGGATGAACCTTGAAGAAGACAAGGAAGAAGGGGTGGATATTGATGAAATCATACCGGAGGTATTACCGGAGGTATTACCGGCGGATGCGCCGTTATGCATGGTAGGAAGGATGTTGTCTGACAAGCCGTTTAAATTCCCTTTTTTCAGAGATACAATGGCTGCCGCGTGGCGTCCAAGGGAGGGGTTCATATACGTGAAATCGGCGACCACATGTTTTTATTTCAATTCCACAATGAGGTTGATTTTGAACGTGTAATAGCGGATGGACCATGGTGTTTCGAGAACGCTCTTCTAGTCCTACACAAAGTTGGACCTTTGGAGAACCCGATTAAGGCTCCATTGACACACGTCCAGTTTTGGGTCCAGGGGTGCAATATGTCGTTTGAATTATTTACGGAGGGTGTCGCAAAGATCATTGGTAATCAGGTGGGGCAGTTTGTGATGGCAGACGAGAAGAATTTTAAGGGAGGTTGGAAGGAGTTCATGAGAATCTGAGTTCCCCTTGATGTTGCGGTTCCTCTTAACGCCGGGTTAAACTCAAAAGAGGGGGGTGGAACTGTAATACTTGAGATTTAATTTAAACGGATTAATAGTACTACTCATACCAACAAGGTGCATCTTCTTTTAAGGGAGCTCATTAGCCAAGAACTCCAAAGTTAAGTGTGCTTGCACGGTAGTAGTCTTGGGATGGGTGATCCCCTCGGAAGTTTCTAAGGGTGCGCACGAGTGAGGACAAAGTGCGCGGAAAAGGCTAGTGGCGGTTTGTGGTGACAGTACTAGAGATCAGAAGTAACTATCTCGGGGCCTGCGGGGCCGGGGTGTTACAAATGGTATCAGAGCAACCCTACGACGGTGTGTTGATCCGTTGGATATCGGACGGGCACTTAGCAGGGGAAAAGATTTTGGGATATGGTTGAGATTGATTTATGGGCGCAACGAGGACGTTGCGTTCCTAAGTGGGGGTGATTGTAATGCTTGAGATTTAATTTAAACGGATTAATAGTACTCCTCACACCAACAAGGTGCATCTCCTTTTAAGGGAGCTCATTAGCCAAGAACTCCAAAGTTAAGCGTGCTTGCACGGGAGTAGTCTTGAGATGGGTGACCCCCTGGGAAGTTTCTCAAGGCGCGCACGAGTGAGGACAAAGTGCGCGGAAAAAGCTAGTGGCGGTTTGTGAGGACAGTACCAGAGATCAGAAGTAACTATCTCGGGGCCTGTGGGGCTGGGGTGTTACAACTGGTATCAGAGCAACCCTACGACGGTGTGTTGATCCGTTGGATATCGGGCGGGCACTTAGTAGGGGAAAAGATTCTGGGATATGATTGAGATTGGTTTATGGGCACAACGAGAACGTTGCGTTCCTTAGTGGGGGTGATTGTAATACTTGAGATTTAATTTAAATGAATTAATAGTACTACTCATACCAACAAAGGTGCATCTCCTTTTAAGGGAGCTCATTAGCCAAGAACTCTAAAGTTAAGCGTGCTTGCACGGGAGTAGTCTTGAGATGGGTGACCCACTGAGAAGTTTCTCAAGGCGCGCACGAGTGAGGACAAAGTGCGCGGAAAACGCTAGTGGCGGTTTGTGAGGACAGTACTAGAGATCAGAAGTAACTACCTCGGGGCCTGCTGTGGCACTCCGAAAATTTAAATAAAAAAAAGATGATTTTACTAATAGATAGAAAATTTTGCTAACGAGAATTTTTTAAAATATAATTGAAAGGAACATAAACGGCTGAAGTTTATATAGTTATATACATATGGCTATGCATGAGAAAC